CCCTTGCCAAACCCCGGAGCTTCACCCAGCCTGCAGAGACCCCCTTACCTCGACGGTCCTGCCTGCTCTGAAGCCTGGCTCCCAGCAGCTTCTGAGGCCCAGGGGCCGTGGAAAGGGCTTAATTCTGCCCCTGCTTAAACCCCCCCTCCCGGGCGTGGGGAAACTCTGAGCGCAGTTCCTTGTGAGGAACTCGTTTCCTTCCCATCCCAGCCTGAAAACCCCTTCCAGGCGCTGCTCTCCCTGCACCCAGCCTGCATTTGAGGGCCGGTCCCCGGGTGCCTGCTGGGAAGGCCACGTGGGCCACCCCGCAGCAGGAGCCTGGGCTTGCTGCAGCGGCGGCTGGGGAAGGGCCAGGCCGGTTCCCTCCCTGACAGAGGCCATTCTCGGCCCCATGCCAAGAAGCCCGCCAGAATCTGGGAGTCCTGGGAGCCTCCTCAGACCTCAGAGACTGTCCCTCCTACCCAGCTTCCGGTTTCTGAGCCTCTTTTCTCTCCAAACCTATGTGCGCCTCTGCCTGCCCCAACCCTCAAGGGCTGATCTGGAAGCTTCGCTCTCATCCAGAAAGGAATTCAGAGAAGTGGAGGGAGAAGCCGGCAAAGTGGAGGGCCCGCAACTCTGCCGTCAGAGGGTCGTCTTGACCTTGCCAGCTGTGTGGTCTTAGCCGAAGCCATCTCCCTCTCTGTGCTTGTTCGCTCATTCTCAAAATGGGACTAGCGGCCGGTCAGCGGTGGCACACGCCTTTAATCCCAGCACTCGGGAGACAGAGCCAGGCGGATCTCTGTGAGTTCGAGGCCAGCCTGGTCTGTAGAGTGAGTTCCAGAAAAGGCGCAAAGCTACACAGAGAAACCTGTCTCGCAAAAACCAAAAAACTCAAAACAACAACAACAACATAAAACCCAAACACCTGATGTGCTAATAAAGAACTGAACAGCCAATAGCAAGGCAGGAGAGAGAAATAGGCCAGGCTGGCAGGCCAAAAGAATAAATAGGAGAAATCTGGGAGGAAAGGAGGAAGAGGAAGGAGCCAGAGAAGGAGGAGGACTCCAGGGGCCAGCTACCCAGCTACACAGCCAGCCACAGAGGAAGAGTAAGATTTACAGAAGAGAATGGTAAAAACGCAGAGGCAAAAGGTAGATGGGATAATTTAAGTTAGGAAAAGCTGGCAAGAAATAAGCCAAGCTAAGGCTGGGCATTCATAAGTAAGAATAAGCCTCCATGTGTAACTTATTTGGGAGCTGGGTGCCAGGCCCTCAAAAGCATAAAAAACAATAGCAGCCATCTTTCTTGATTCTTCCACCTTTATGTGATAGGATAATCTTTTATTAAAGATTTATTTATTTATTATATATATGGTGTTCTGCCTGCATGTATGCCTGCAGATAAGAAGAGGGAACCAGATCTCATTATAGATGGTTGTAGGCCACTGTGTGGTTGCTGGGAATTGAACTCAGGGCCTCTGGAAGAACAGCCAGTGCTCTTAACCTCTGAGCCATCTCTCTGGCCCCATGGGAGCCCCAATCTTGTGGGCCTGGGCCATTTCCATTCCTCTCCCCATACCCTCTCCCTCCACAATATAAAGCACCTCCCACAATGTGCCAGTGACTTATAGACGAGGTTTTTCTGTGTAGCCCTGGCTGTCCTGGAACTAACTCTGTAGATCAGGTTGGCCTTGAACTCACAGAGATCCGCCTGCCTCTGCCTCCCGAGTGCTGGGATTAAAGATGTGTGCCACCACTGCACCAATGATTCTACAAGGTTTTGTCTTTGCTCCTTCATTCCTTTCCTCCTTCCCTCCTTCCTTCCTTAGTAATTGTATTCTTTAAGTGTGTATGTGCACACACATGCACATGCATGCTCCCTTGGAAGCCAGAAGAAGGCATCAGATCTCCTGGAGCTGGAGTTATAGACGGTTGTGAGCCATCTGATGTGGGTGGCTTAGCCATCTCTCCAGCTGCCTTCTCACTTCTTTTCTTTTTGTGCTTCTGAGAACAGAACCCAGGGTCTTCCACTGAGCCACACCCCCAGCCCCTCACTGGGGGATTCTAGGCAGGGACTCTACCACTGAGCCACACCCCCAGCCCCTCACTGGGGGATTCTAGGCAGGGGCTCCACCACTGAGCCACACCCCCAGCCCCTCACTGGGGGATTCTAGGCAGGGGCTCCACCACTGAGCCATTCCCCAAGCTCCCCCCACACACACACACCCTTTCCTGCCAAGTGTGATAGTATGTGCCTGTAATTCCTGCATTCTGTAAGCTAAGTCAATCAGATCACAAGTTCCAGGCTAACCTGGGCTACACAGTAAGGCTCGGTATCAAACAACAACAGCAAAACCTCTTTCCTCTGTAAGCATCCAGCCTCAGATATTTTGTTATAGCAACATAGACTGGACCAACACAGCACCTTTGGCTATAATCATGGTGTGGCTACAGTAGGCTGTGTCTTTTCAAGATGGACTGAGATCCACAACCTTGGACCTAAGGGTAAAAGATTCAAGAAGCATGGCTCATAGTTAGACCTGAGAAAGAACAGCATAAGTATTGGCAAGAAGGAGAAGTGTCTGTGATGCCTAGACGTGAAAGGATTGTATGCCTGGAAAGACAGTGGACTCATCGGCTACTAGAAAGAATAAGAATAACGTCCAAAGTGTTAACTCCCCCAGAGTAGCTACAGTGAAGCCAGCACCACCCCCTAAATGATGGCAAAATGTGTTCCAGGCTCACTGAGCCCAACCAGTGTATTTTAGTCACTCCACACCAGGGCCTCGTCTCTCCCCGACAAACACTCTCATCTCCCCCCCACACTGTAAACAGACAGAGCAGGCCTGCCATAACCACGAGACAGGGCTCCTAAATGCATAGTTTGTCCCATCTGGACACTCATGCATGCTCAGCACGTCACCCACAGCCTGGCGAAAGGTAACTTCTCAGTAAACATCAGTCTGTGAAATAAATGAACCCTTCTGTTGCTGGCTTCTCAATTTGGAATGTGCCCAATAAAACCAGGGACATGCCGGTGGGTGCCAAGGACTCATAAACCCAATAGCAAATATTATGGGTCAGCATTTACTTCACTTTTGAAGGATAGTGTATCTCTGGGTTACAATGCAGAATGCTAGTCATAGAAATGCAGCGAAATGGGGCTGGAGAGATGGCATATGGGCTAAGGATGATTCCTGCTCCTGCTGAGGACCCAAGTTCAGTTCCCAGTAGCCAAGTCATGCAGCTCACAACCACCTGTACCTCCAGCTTCAGGGGATCTGACGCCCCCTTCTGGCCTCCTAGAGGACCTGCACACATGTGGCATACACACACACAAATAAAGCTTATATCGAATTGAAGGTGAATTCTCTCCCCCAACCCTCTTCTTTTGTAAGTACATGTGCTTTTATTTTTACTTAATTTATGTGAATTACAGATGGTTGTGAGCTGCCATGTGGGTGCTGGGAACTGAACCCGGGTCTTCTGCAAGAACAGGTGTTCTGAACTGCTGAGCTCACTCCAGTCCCTTCCCCCTCTCTCTTGGTGTGACCTTTGCAGTGCTGTGGTGGCTGTCAGGGCCTGGAAGGTCCTAAGCAAATGCTCTAGTGCTGAGCCCTGTCCCCAACCCCATGTCTTTGGAATCTGAGAAAGGAAGTGTGCTCACAGGACTAGATTCACATTCGAGTCCCATTGCATAAACAATCAATTTATACACAGTACAATTATGTTTAAGTTTTTTTCCTTTTTTTCTTTCTTTCTTTTTTATAAATTTATTTATTACATATACAGTGTTCTGCCTACATGCATGCCAGAAGAGGGCACCAGATCTCATTACAGATGGTTGTGAGTCACCATGTGGTTGCTGGGAATTGAACTCAGGACCTCTGGAAGAGCAGCCGGTACTCTTAACCTCTGAGCCATCTCTCCAGCCCCCTGTTTAAAATGTTTTAAGATTTATTTCTAAGTGTGTATGTGTGTGTGTACACGTACGCACGTGTTCCTGTGTGGGTGCCTAAAGAGACCAGGGAGTGCACTACATCTCTGAACCTGGAGTTACAGGTAGTTAGGTTTTTCATATTTACTTTATGCCAGTCCCACTGTGTAGCCTTGGCTGGACTGGGACTCACTTATGTAGATCAGGCTCATGTAAACCAGGATGGCTTCGAACTCACAGAGATCAACCTTCCTCTTCCTCCTGAGTGCTAGGAATAAAAAGGTGCACCCTTGCCTACAGGTGGTTGTGAGCTACCATGTGGGTGCTGGCAACCGAATTTAGCTCCTCTGCAAGAGCAGCCAGTGCTTTTAACTCTGGAGCCGTCTCTCCAAGCCCACGTCCTGTTTTTCTAGAGGATCTGAGTTCCATCATAAGTTTTCTTGAGGGGCGGCTCTCAACTGTATTTCCGGTTCCAGGGGATCAGATGTCCTCTGCTGACATCCATGGCACCAGGCACACATGTGGTACACAGACATACACACAAACATAAATAACTTGAAAATAACTTTCCACGCGTGTATATTTATGTGCACCCAACTGTTCTCATTTTATTCAGGGAGTATCAGTCTGTTACAATCTGCTGCTTTTAACATTAATGCTTGGGCTGGGGTGTATCTCGGCAGAATGCTTGCGTGGCCACTAAGAGCCCGAGGGTTCCATCCCCAGAGCTGAATAAACCAGGCACGGTGGTGCGTGCATGTAGCAGCCCCGGCTCTTGAGAAGTGGAGGCAGGAGGGTCAGAAGTCCAAAATTTTGGTTATATAACAAATTAAAGACCAACCTTGGAGATATGAGATCATACTGGGGTGGGGGCGGGGTCGGGGGAGAGACCGACAAAGATAGAGAGACAGAGAAACAGAGAGAATGACAGAAAAAGGGAAAAAAGAAAAAGAAAAAAGCGATGCTCAAATTCTCTAATTGGCCTGTGGGTACACGTCAAGCTGGCTTCTATGTCCTTACCAGCTCTGCCATTAGTCTTTAACTGTGCCCTGACTTTCTGAACCCAAACGACGTTGTTGCGGGCTTACTTTGTATCTGTCCTTGTACCCCTGCCCACGCCCTGCCAGAGAAAGGAAGTGAGGAGCTGACCCTTCGCTTCCTGTAATGACCCCTCTTTGCCTGTATTTCTGATTTCAATGCAGCGAACCCGCCAATGGCAGGGGAGACGTTCTAGCGGTTGCCATGGAGACCGCAGAGCCACCGCGCATCAGGGAGCTATGACGTCATTGCCGGAGCAAGTGCAGCCGCCACCATCATCACATCCTGGTCTTGAACTCTGTCACGGGGCACGTGAGGGCGGGCGACCTCTGGGCCAGCAGGGAGAGGTGACCTACTCCAACTTGCCAAGTTGCCACCCACGACATTCTATTAGGGTGGCAGCAGCAGCAGGGAGACCAGCGGTCTCCGGTCCACAGAGAGTGTTAAGGCCTTGCAGCAGAGTCTGCATCATCAAACTCTCCTGGGAGGGGCCTTGCCCAGGACCTGGGAGCCACGGCCACTCAGCTCCAATTCCGTGGCCAACGTGAGCCGCTAGGAACTTCCACGAGTGAGCTCAGAGGGGGCAGGCTGAAGAAGGCTGGGTTCCCCTTGACTGAGTTAGACCAGTTGGGTCTATTAGTAGCCTCACCCGTGAGGCCTCGTTTTCACATCATCCTCAGAAAGAGCTCTCGGCACCCTGGATCCTTCCGTGGGTCCTCGAGGCAACTCCACCACGCACCAGCGCGCACACAGCTGCTTCAAGGAGTTGGGCAAGATGGTATTTGGAGTCCAGGACATTGTATTGTTAGAACACGGATGCAAGGCCTTGGAGGTGGACAGTTACAAGTCCCTGATGATCCTGGGGATCCCAGAGGACTGTAGCCACCAGGAATTTGAAGATATCATACGGGGCCCCCCTGAAACCACTAGGCAAGTTCGAAGTGGCTAGGAAGGCATTTCTGGAGGAAGATAGATCCGAGGCAGCTATCATTAGGTTGGCAGAGGACCTCAATTACGACGTGGTTCCCAGGGAGATCAAGGGTAAGGGAGGTACGTGGAGAGTGGTCTACATGTCCAAATGGCAGGACATCGAATTCCTCAGCAAGCTCAATTTGTTCCTGCGGGGAGAGGGCAGGACGGTGGAGGATGTGGCCTGCGTCCTCAGGCGGGAGCTGTGTCCCACCACAATAGAGCTGCCTTCCAGGAAGTGCTGCCTGTCTCCGCAGGGGGAGAATGCAGACCAGGGGGCCACCGCCAAGGGGGATGGGATGCCCCCTCTTGAGGACCCAGAGAAAGAGAGCAAGGCTGAAGAGGGCAAGAAGGGCGAGAAGAAAAACAAGAAAAGTCGGCGCCGACAGCAGGCTTCTGAGAAGCTGTGAGGTGAGTGTGTATGGGGGGCGGCGGGCTTTGCGGAGGAGGGTGGGAGTCATCTGAGTGGGCACGGGATGACTGGGAGAGCACATAGCAATCTGGCACTTGAGAGTGAGTGTGGATAGGAGGTGATGGACCAGCGAGTGGATGACTTCTGAGTCAGAATGAGTATCACCGGAGTGTTCCGCGTGGCATTTGACTTCGTGAAGAAAGCTTATTTATTTTGGTCAATGATGAGAATTGTGCTAGGGCTTTGAGCATGCTATCCAAGTGCTCTATCAGTAAACCATTCACCCAGCCCCCTCGCTAGCTGATTCTAGGCAAACTCTCTGTTAATGAGCTATGAGTACAGTGTGAGCCTGGTACTCTCATCTAAGTGAACTTGTGGACTGCCGCTGAGGAGTGGGTGTGGCTAACGTTCGGTTGAGTGTGGGCCATATTTTCTTCTTCTTCTTCTTCTTCTTCTTCTTCTTCTTCTTCTTCTTCTTCTTCTTCTTCTTCTTCTTCTTCTTCTTCT